TTCAGATCGAGGAGGTGAATCGGGAGGTTATTACAAGTGGTCAGGAGGTGGAAACGTGCAACAACCAGGTGACTGAACTGAGACGCCAATTGCAAGCCCTGGAAATCGATCTCCAAGCTCAGCTCAGCCAGGTGAGTGATGAGCTGGTGCAAACCTCATCCATCTCACAGAATTCATAGCTAAATGCAGTTTCTCCTGCCTGTATTTGTCTCATGTCCCATGTCACTCCTCAGAGGGACAATCTGGAGTCCTCGCTGGCGGAGACAGAGTGTCGCTACAACAACCACCTTGCTGAGCTGCAGAGCCAGATCACCTGCGTGGAGCAGCAGCTGGCTGACCTGCGGGCAGAGATGGAGTGCCAGAACCAAGAGTACAAGATCCTGCTGGACGTTAAGTGCCGCCTGGAGCAGGAGATCCACACGTACCGCTGCCTGCTGGAGGGTGGCCAGCAGGACCTTATGTAAGTGGGCTTGGGATACACCAAAAAAATACAATAAAATACCTGTGTCCTGGTTATTTCAACATAAGAGCAAAGTGAAGGACCTGCTGAGCTCATGCTCCTTTACTGACCTGTTTGGTCTGCCTGGTGCCATAGTGGTGACCTGCTTTCTTTCCTGTGCTATTGGTGCCACAAGGAAAACTGAAACATTTTGCCATTTTTCTGCCAAAAAGGGAAGTAGACTGAAAGCAGCAGGGACCCTGACAATCTGTAACTCTAGCTTATCTGTCATTTCCGTCACTAAAACGTTATTTTCCTTTCTCCTCAGTCAGCAAGGAGGAATTGGTCAGTCTTCAGGTCTCGGAGGAGGAGTTGCAAGAAGCAGTGGGATAGGAGGAGGAGGCATCATTAGGACAAGCCACACTTACACTTCGTCTGCCCAGATCCCATCCTGTGCAGCTGCGGAGATCCAAGGTAAGAACTGTTCCACTCGAAACATTTCCACAGTCTTCTCTGCTCTAATGCAACACTGATGGGCTGGAAGACAGATCTTTCCCACGTAGCTTACAGTGCTACTTCAAAGTTTTATTGTGGGGCCTCTGGGAAATACAGGATAGGAGCCACAGAGGAGTGGCTGAGAGGAGAGCTTTTGGGAGCTGGGACTCTGCTGGGAGGCATGAGAATTGCCAGAGGGAAGAGGGATAGAAGGGAGAGGGACAGAGCCAGCATGCAGGCAAGCCATGAAGAACATGGAGGAAAGACTGACGTGAAATGTGGGATAAAGGAAAGAAGATGAGAAAGAAAAGTACTCAGAAATTAGGTGGACAAAAAAAAGGCAGGGATCATGGGAATACTGGCAGATAACTACTAGCCCTAATTCAAAGGGAAACTTCCAGCCAAATTGAAAAGGAAAGAAGGAATATAGTGACAGTTGGTCCAGGAGAATGATGTGAGCAGGGGCATTGCTCTAGCATGGATCCCAATGCCATTCCCTCATCCAGATCACTGCTGGAGCAGTGTCTGCAGCTTCCACCTTTTGGCATTTTGATGCAGCCTGGGCTGCAGCCACTGACAGATCCATCTGCCAGGCTGGCAGGAGCCATCAGATCTTCCCAGGAAGGGGCAGTATTTATCTGAAATTCTAATTGAATTGGCTTGTGAAACGATCACGTGTAGGGAATGACAGTGTGGGAAAGAATCTATTTTTGCTATAAACACAGTAACGTTTCCTTTGATCTCTCCAGTGCCTTGCCGAAGGATTTGTGATTAAACAGAGAAATGAGAATATCCAGCAAGAGAAGCCTGAAGCAGAGCTACAGATGAAAAGAGAGAATATTTAGTGCATGTGTCTGCAGAGAGCACGGAGCGTGCTCGTCTGTGTCGCTCAGCAGTGCTAAGCAATGTGTAAGAGGGATGAGCAGAGCATTGAGCCACATTCTGCTTTATTTTGCTATTTGCTTTTCAGTCTGTGCTGCTGTGTGTGGCCCAGCACCACGACTATTGCTGTAGTCAGCCAGGGCTATGATCACTTATGTACCTGCTGGTGAAAAATGTCTAATAAAACTTTGCTTCTGCCTAATGCAATCAAGAACCTGTGTCTGAAACTGAGTTCCTTTTGAACACCAGGTGCTGATCCATGAGCAAAGGGCACCTCAACTGCTCAGGATCATCCTGCACTGGGAACAAAGCTGCTTTGCCAGCAGGAGAGTGGCCTTGCTGACCTGGCAGGTCTTGTCCAGCTCTTCCCTGTTGTCACAGCCTGAGGCAGATGTTGCCCATTCCTGTGTGACACTTGCCCTGACCCCATGGACAGGCAGGTCAGGCAGAGGCTTGTGTCCTTCCCACACAGCATTGGGCTGAAACAGTTTTAGAAGAATTTTGAAAGTCAGTAATGGAACATCTGGAGACAGTTTGCCTTGGTCCCAGCCTAGTGCTGACAGAACTGGGCTGAGCCCTCTCATGCTCCATCCTCCAGCCTGGGGACTGTTGAGGATGAAATCCTGGTCTCCACAGCTGATTCAATTTCTGCTGACATAGCTTATATTCAAACTTATCCCTTTCATTCTGTGGAAATCTTCACACTGGGAAAAGAACTGCAGAAGATTTATCTCCTCTCCACACAGTGATTGAGTCATTTACTGGTCATCCTCTGATGGCCAAGAGTTTCAACTGAACATCAAGAGTGATTGAAGGATCATCTTTGTGTTAAACACACCTTGTCTGGGGAGCTGCAGAGGGCAGAATGTGAACTGAAAAAGTGCAGCTTACCAGAGAATAGGATTGAGAGAAAAGCCAGCAAGGGCCCTTGGACATCCAGAGCCACCCAGCTGTCACAGACCAGGCAGGTTAGTCCCTCCCTGGCCTTGACCAGCAGCTGTGTAGCTGCTGCTGAGCTGGTTTTGTCCTGGCCCTGTCCTGCCAGAGCAGCCGTGGGTCACAGTGAGCTGGCAAAGTTACTCTGGGTTTGGAGAACTGGCAGTTCAAAGTATTATGAGGGTGTTTTGAGGATTAAATTGTTGGTGCAGAAAGACAAGCAGGGGTGGTTTTGGCAATGGTGTGGCTGTTACAGGGTCACATTCACCTGTGAGATGATCCAGTAAAGCAAAACTCCTGGTTATTCCTTTCCCATCAAAGGCTGGAGGTTATGGAACAGCCAGACTCAGGACAGGAGGAGAACAGGTACAAAGGCAAAACCACTTCAGGACTGGACATACAGTATAGTGTGGCACACTTTTCTATTGCCAGTTCTTTTATAAAGACACCAATTTCTCTGATGAAACAGAGCTAGACTTCATATGGTAGCAAGTGCCTGAAGAAGTTCAACCACTAAAGTCTCAGGGAGCAGGTGAAAGGTGCCCTTCTCCTGTTGTGAGAGGCCACAGAGAGAAGATGTTTCAATGATATTTCTTTATTTCTTCTACTAGACACTGATAGTATCCGTGGGCAAGACAAGATAATGCAGCACTAGAATACCTGCAATGACTCAGAGGAGTGGCCAAAGTTAGTTTTTAAACCAAGACTAAATTAAACCTTATTTAAAAGTTTGGTTCTGCCCTACATGAAGTCCCACACTTGAAGCAGAATTCTTTCAGTTGACATGTATGGCCAGTGCTTCACAAGAGATCAAAAGATATATTAATTGTGGCTATAATGGCAAATCTCCTTGTGTTGGACTCCAGTGGATATCCCACTTGTTCTCAGAGCTCTGGCTGAGAAGTTGAAAAGCAAATATTTCCCTGTCCATCTCCATTGTGTTCTCCTGCCTTGTTCAGTGCAAAAACAGACAGTGAGATACCCCAATGCTGCCCTTTTTAGCCTCAATCCTTCCCAATCTGAGTCCTCACATTCTTGTTTCTAGAAATATAAAGACACTGCACTGAGACTCTTCCAGTTTCCAGTCTTCTGGAAACTCTTGGCTACCTGTAGTATGTAAAAGCTTCCCAGTCACTCCTGGCAGCCCCAGCTGATTCCCACCAGTTGTGGGCTGGCTCCTCCTCTTGCGAACTGCTGCTGACATCTAGCTGCTCCTCCAGATTCCCTGGGCTCATATCAAAGAGCTTCCCACCCTTTCCACCACATCCAGCAGGTCCAAAGCATGCACTTTCATAAAGGAGCTGTCCTGAATTCCTGAGAGGTGAAAGAGACCAAATGACACGGCCAGAAAGTCACTAATGATCCAGAAATTATGAATATGCCTCTGGAAAGCCCCCGGGGGGTATAGCCTCAGCTCCTGGGACGCTGTGATGTTGTTTGTGGACCTGCAAGTTGGGATGAGTGTGGAAGGCAGCTCAGGAGAGGCAGGTTGTGATTAACAGTTCCCCAGCAGAAAACACCCTGGAAACATTTCATTTATTAAAGAGCTGCAAATTATGAGCTGCAAATGTTGGAAGCTACATTTCCATAAGACTTCTTTGTGTGGATGAGACGGACCCAGGAAGCTCATGAGTTCAAACAACAAAATGAAAACACGAGGGAAAGCTTAATTTAATTTTTTAAGGTCTCAAAACAATTACTTAGTTTTGTCTTAGTTTATCTAGTGCCCTCATTTCCTGGAGATAAACAGGAAAAATAACAAGCCAGAGGGAAGTGTGTGCAGAGAGAAGCTCCTGGGCACAGGGCGTTGTGTCTGCGAGGGGCAGAGGGGACCGAGGTGTCCCGGAGGAGCAGGAGCGTCCCCAGCCTGCAGACACCCTCCACTCCCACGGAGTACAAGTCATCCCGTGTTTCTGCCTGCTCTACACCGATGTGGCCGTGTGATAACTGCGGGGCTGGGGAAGGAATGTGTGCTCACTCAGGAGATGCTTGCTGCACGCAGCTGTTGGGAAACTCCGGAGGAATTATCCGCAGACCAGCGAAGCTTCCAGCGACGCAGCTTACAGCAGTTTCGGTTTGCTCCTGCCACCACACCCTGACTCCCAATTATGTTCTCCAACCCTAGGAATGAAATCTGGTGATTCCTTCTTATACACAATAACTTTATTAGAGCTTTTACCTATTCTGAGCTTTATTTCTGTGGGGTTTGGGCCAGAGGGAGGCCCAGGCTGTCAGGGAGGGCAGGCTGACGTGCAGCCACCGTGTCTGGGTCCAGCTGCAGCTCAGCCAGAGGCTTTGTCTTGGAGTAAATCACTTAGGGAAGCCTCTCCACATCTGTCTCCGGGCTGCTGGAGAGATCACTGGAACGCTTCTGCCTTTCATGGCATGAATAAGGAACATCCAAGGAGGCAAAGAAAAGGGGAGATATCTTTTCAACAGAAATAAGAGCAATAAAATGATGGGTAAATCCATGAATACTGGGATAAATCAGCCCTTAAGTAAAGAGATCATTTACCTGCCGTAACAATAGCTAGTCCAATCCACAATCCTGACACTAAGTGAGGATTTCAGCAAGAATTTGAACTCACTTTTCCCTGGTGAAGGGGATTTGGAGAATTTCTTGCAAGGAACAGTTAGTTGGGTTCAGAAAGCCATGGAATGCCTGCCCCTTGCTCCATGGCCACTGGAAAAGGGCTCCCTAGGGAGAAGGCCAGTGCTCTGGAGCATCAGCAAAACATCTCATGAAAAGAAGCTTAGCCTAAATTTTGATTACAAAATCGTGAAAGGCGTTTTTATTTTCCTTGCTTAATTAGGATTTGGAAACATTACTGATAGAGTCTCTAGTCTGTACCAAATCCAGCTTCTCCAGCCCAGGTAGAACTGCACAGGGCAGTGACTGCTCTGCAGCTCTTTCAGCAAGTCTGTCTTTATATGTCCCAGGACAGCAAACTCGAAGCTCTGATTAAAATGAAGTATGTATTGACAGAGAAATTTGCCATAGGATGTTTCTACTCCCATCCACTGTTTCAAAACCACCCTTTCCCAGCAACAATTATAATCCATAATGAGGAGAAGTGCAGAAATTATCTTTCACTGAACAACAGGAAATACTTAAAGTACTTTTACCTTCCTTTACACTCTCCACATAATGAAACAAATCCTTTGTGAATTACTGGAGAGCCGCAATCATGTATGAAGAACCTTTCATCCATGTCCATTACAAGATCCCTCCTTAGTCTCACTTGTCTCACAGCAGAGTGTTTCAGATTTGTCATCTTGGCAAAGGAGAGATTTAAAGGTTAATCTCTGTGTCTCTGATCTTTCCAGAGTTCTTACATCATTCTTCATACATCATTCGGAAAGCAAACTTAGTATTTCTTCTTTCTTTTTCATCTTACATATTCCAACCTCAGCACCTTGCATGAAAACTGCTTATTCAACTCAAAATAAAATGAAATAAATTAATGAGAGATAAAGACCTCTTTGATGCAATAACCTTTAATGATTTCTTCCTGGTATGTAATTTAGGACAGTGTTTTTCCTGGCTTAATGCTGTAAGTTTGCATCATAAACAAAAAGCTGATGATTCATAAAACATTATTGCTAATGTATTTTTGAAATTAGCAAGAGACATGTAAAGCATCTTCCTTGTCTACCAGGCTTCTTGAAAGGAAACTTCCCTTTGAGAAATTATTCTTGGCACCAATGGCTGGAGTAGCCAGCCTTATGGGAAGAAGAAGCAGTGGTGACACCCACTGTGGAAGGTATAAATAGGGATGGGCGGCCACAGCCAGCCTGCAGTCTGATTTCGTATCAAGCTGTGCATCTTGCTTTGGGCTTCTGCTTGCATTTCCAACCGCTGTCGCCATGAGTTGCAACATTAAGGAGACTATTACTGTGTCTAGCAAAGGCAGGAGCAGCGGTGGCAGCTGCATCATTGGTGGTGGTGGTGGTGGAGCACGGATTTCTTCCTTTGGCATAGGCAGTGGCAGAGGTTTTTCTGGAAGGAGTTACTGCGGTGGAGTGAATTATGGAGGGGGACTGAGTGTTGGTAGCTTGGCTGGTGGGAGCTATGGAGGTGGCAACTGCTATGGCAATGGCCTCGGGTTTGGCCTCGGAGGCGGTGTGGTTGTTGGGGGTCTTGGTGGCGACTGCTTGCTTTCATCCTGCGATGAGAAGGTCACCATGCAAAACCTCAATGACCGCCTGGCTTCCTACCTGGACAAGGTGAAGTGCTTGGAGAAGGAGAATGCTGAGCTGGAGTGCAGGATCAGAGAGTGGTACGCAACACAGGGCCTCTCCTGCGAGCCCCGCGACTACAGCTGCTACTACAAAGAGATTGAGGATCTTCAGAACCAGGTAATCCCTTGGGCTCTTCCTCCCTTTTGGAAAGCTTATTCCTGAATTTGTGTTTAAAACCTACTGTAGTTGTTGAAGGGAACTTTGGTGCTTGTGAGTGTCTTTGCAAACAGAAATTTTGGCAAATTCCCCTTTGACATCGCTGAGTGTGGGGGCACATCAAGGACCTGCAAGGTGGTGTTGGTGGGAGAACACTCTGAAAGAGGAAAAGGATGCTTTGGTATATTGTATTTGACTATCCAATTGTAAATGTAATATTACCAATGTACTCTGAGGAAATGTAGTGGTGTCAGCTACAGAAAGAGTGAAGCAAACTAGGGGACAATCAAAAACATACACTTTGGATGCTTTATCAAATGAAACATTATAAATCTCTAAGTGAGAAAAGGATTAAACTAATTGTCACAGTGACACAAACAGCCTGATATTAATAAGTCCATTATGAAAGTTATGGCTGATTCTAAGGCTTAAAGACACCTTCCCACCATGTTCCTTGAAGGTCCTTAAATCTGAAGTCCAGAACATGCCAGCTTGGATGTCAGTTGAGCTTTAGTATCTTAAGGAAGGTTCTTTAGGTTTATTTTTGAAACATCAGTGGAATTTGACTTCAGATCTTGAAACTGGAAAGTCCCATCCCACAACTCTTTAATTCCCAGCTCTGTGTGGCCGATCTCCTTTCTGCTGTAAGTGAAGGAGGCAAAGCCACCTCCTTCAACTTGTCTGCTTAAGGGACAAGGTTACTTAAGTAAGAAGGTAACAGAAAAAGGGAAATGTGAAGAGTTACTACCTAATTGCAAGGCAGAAAAACCTATAGAGTAGAACAGGAGAGAGGAGACATCTCTCATGGTTTGCTGTTTTCCAGATTGTCTGCGCAACCATTGATAACAACAAGATCATCCTGGACATTGATAACAGCAGGATGGCAGCTGACGACTTCCGTGTGAAGTGAGTGCCCCTCTATGAACCTGTTGCCTCCCCCCTGCTCCTTTCCACCTCCCTGGGAGGCTCAGCACTAATTACAGAGGCTCCAGACACGTCTCCCTACACCACTTCGACAGGGCAGGATGATTAAAGGCATTTTGCTCCTGGTCACCAGCCCTCCCTTAATTAGTGTTCTTGAGAAAAACATTTAGCAACAGGGTTTGTGGTGAGGCTGGGGACAGGCACCTCAGGGAGTGGCCCATTTTCACCCCAGACCAGTGCAGATGGGATCAACAAAGCAGAAATGCAGCTGAATAAGTTGATACCAAATATACAGTGAGCAGGAGCAGGGAAAAAACATTAGAAAAGCTTTTATGTAACAGACATGAAATGGTGCAGAAATCCAAGGCACAGTGCATTCACCTTGGACAGCAAAATGCAGGTCAAAGCATGGAGCTGGGGAAGGAGATTGTGGCACAAACAGAACCCATGTGGGACATCCCCATCCTGAATCTGTGCTTCCTGGCACAACGCAGGTACGAGACGGAGCTGGCCCTGCGCCAGAGCGTGGAGGCCGACATCAACGGGCTGCGCCAGGTGCTGGACCAGCTGACGCTGTGCAGGTCTG